GGGTTATATAGGGCTTACAATCGGGTTACATCCTTTGTGACAGCGGAGATTACACCGGAGTTATATAGGGCTTACAAGCGCGGTACATGGGGGTGACAGCGAAGATTACATTAGGTTTACATGGGGCTTACAAGCGCGGTACATGGGGGTGACAGCGAAGATTACATTAGGTTTACATGGGGCTTACAAGCGCGGTACATGGGGTGGACAGCGGAGGTTACATTGGGATTACATGGAGGTTACAATAACTGGTCGGGTCGACGGGTCACGCACAATAAAAGGTATATTTGTATTACGGTGGGGCCGACCAAGCTGACGTGTCTTCCGCTGATTCGCTATCGCACGCAGCGCTACGTGCCTCTTATGTACCCAAATTTTTTCCCCGTTGCAGGGAAAAAATGCAGAAGATAATGGGCATAGAACAATAGAACAGTAACGCTAGCTGCTTAAATACCCTAATTGCTTAAATACCGTGATTCCCGCGCTCCAATATGTGTAACTCGCTGTTACATCGCAGTTATAATCGGGTTACAAACGCATTTCCAGTGTACATGGACATTACCATCGGGTTACACGGACATTACATTCGGGTTACACGCGTGGTATAATCTCTAGGTTACACCGGTGTTACATGTATTGTACATCAAGTGTACATCCTCATGAGTGACCGCGGAGTTACATTGACGTTACCGCGGAACTTACACCGGGGTTACATCTAGTGTACACACACAGTCGGAGGTTACACCGGATGTACAACAATAGTACACGCGGATTACAAGATGCACAACAATAGTACACGCGGATTACAGTGGCGTTTCTGCGGGACGTACACCGGGGTTACATCCTTTGATGACAACGGAGATTACACCGGGGTTATATAGGGCTTATGACAGCGGATATTACACGGTTATATAGGGCTTACAAGCGGGTTACATCCTTTGTGACAGCGGAGATTACACCGGAGTTATATAGGGCTTACAAGCGCGGTACATAGGGGTGACAGCGAAGATTACACTAGATTTACATGGGGCTTACAAGCACGGTACATGGGGTGGACAGCGGAGGTTACATCGGGATTACATGGAGGTTACAATAATGGGTCGGGTCGACGGGGCACGCACGGTAAAAGGGATATTTGTATTACGGTGGGGCCGATCCGCTGATTCGCTATCGCACGCAGCGCTGCGTGCCTCTTATGTACCCAAATTTTTTCCCATAACCTTATATTGTTCTGCAATAATATTTGAAGAAGGTAAAACTAGTGGTAAGCTGAAAGATAACTCCAAAATCCGCACTTCAAAAAGGTTTCGTTGATCCCTATGAAAAGTTCTTCACAAAAACTCCATTGAAAAAAAGCTATAGAAGCAGTTTGCGGTAAAGGAAAACAGAGGAAGACATATGCAAAGCAAATAATAAACTTTCCCATTCCAAAAGCATCTAACAGTAATTGTTTATATATATTACTGGGACAATTCTGTGTAAATTAAAATTAATACTTGAGTGAGGCATATGATTTAGAGAGTTGGAGAATCATGATATTGCAAGAATGGAAGCAGGTGGTCCTGCTGTCAAAGGTAGTTACGGTAGAGCTGGAGTAATGCAGCAGCAAACATGAAGGATAGAAACAAATTAACAAGTACTACATCCCCCAGATCGAAACCAACATCATAAATACAATTTCGGCTATACCCGATGACTTGACAGCAGTCCAGCAAACCGAATTTGCTGGGAGCTAAATGCTAACTAAGGAGATTCAGGTACATATGACTAAACTATCACATGCCAATTCTATCTCCTACCATAAAAAGATTAGAGTAGAAAAAGTAGTTAGCTTAAAAAAATTAGGAGTGCTCAAGTTCATAAACGAAGATTCGACATAAAAAAAAAAAACAAAATATCAGCACTCTAAAGGCGAATCAAAAGAAACAAAGATCTAGATCCAGATCAATTTGAACATAAAACGAAGCAAATCTCACCTTGCTCTTGGTCACGGAGTCATTGACGTTAATAGCTGGGAAGAGCAAAGACCCACTGGCCTGCATCTGGTACAGCCTTTTCACTCCGGTGGTTGTTTCCTCCGAGACACCAACCAGTCTCTCTTTCATCTTCGAGTACTTTTTGGGATCCACCTTGATGCTATCGCTAATAAGCCCAAAACGATCTGGAACTCGGCGTTGTCCGTGGATGCTGGATCTGGTAGCTTCCCGGTTTTCTCGTACTCCTCTTCCGCCTTGACACCCTCGTGTATGAGCAGCGTCGCATCGCCGCCATCATCAACAATGAGATCGGGGCCACCTCCGGCACCCCACTCGAGGCAGCGCTCGGTACACCACCAGTACTCCTGTAGAGTCTCGCCCTTCCAGGCAAACACGGCGGCAGAATCTCGCGCGATGGCGGCCGCAGCGTGGTCCTGGGTGGAGAAGATGTTGCAGGAGCACCACCGGACTTCGGCACCAAGGGCGGTCAATGTTTCGATGAGGACGGCGGTCTGTATGGTCATGTGAAGGGATCCGGAGATGCGTGCGCCCTTGAATGGCTGTGAGGGGCCGAACTCTGCGCGGCAAGCCATGAGACCTGGCATCTCGACCTCAGCGAGCTCGATCTCGAGCCTGCCAAAATCGGCCTGGGATATGTCCTTCACCTTATACTCGCGCCCAGAGGAGGTTTTCTCCACTAGGAGAGTCATTGCGACGGAGCTGGGCGGCGAAGGAGATGAGGGATGAAGCTCTCGGCGATCCTTAGGGCCGATATCGAGGTAAAAGGGCAGGACGAGTAGTTGGAAATGGAAGGAGATCTTGCGGCATTTAACGTGTGATGAGGTAGAAACGGACGGTTCTCATTAGTTGTCGTGAGGAAGATTTTAATCTTGATGGCGGCGCACGTGATCGTGCATTCTGTTGTGGTCGCGTTTCAATCATTACTACCTTCTAATCGGTTGCTAAATATATTTTTTCTTTGGGAATTTATATATATATATATATGGT